GATAAGTTATGGATGGTGCGTGGAGATAGGCGGAGAGAAAGGACGCGAGGGAGAGAAAACTCACGCGAATAGCACTTGTCATCTAAGCGGAGAGAAGAATTTTCTTAGCAGCTGGAAACTTTCTCAGAACCATCTGTCGTATTTGACGTCGATTTGACGTCTTATCCAAAGACGCAGACGCCGGAAGAAGTTCAGATAAATAAATGTTAGACGATTACTCCATCGGAAAGAGATCACGAAAGAAAAACTGGTCGTCCTACATCGTATCGAAGAAATTATTCCGAAATGTCACATTCAACTAAAAAAACTCATTTCATCCTCGAAACATCAAAGCAAGAAAAATAGGCGGCATCTTCTACGAAATAATTGAAATCGCAAAAATTTCACGGTTAAGAATTTCAACGTGTCGCAACGCGCACGAATGCTTTCGCGCTTATTATTCCGATATTTCGTATCCTGTTTTGCCGCGCCGCGAACGTATATATAGAGGCTTTTAAATCTTTCTGCCGTGAAATTACTCTGCGGTGGCTCGTCATTACCTGCCCGAGTCCCTACGTGTAACTGTAGATACACACACTCATGGTACGAACGTCCTCACTGAAGTAATTACATATACGCGTGTTTATGTCAGGAATTCTCATATACAGCGAGAGTAAATAATAAAATTGTATATAATTAGTTGCGTTTTTTGAATTTCATAATTTGATATTTTACAGAAGTTTTTGTCTGTCTCATTTCGTTTTGCCATTATATAAATTTACTTTCCCTCTCTTTCTTTTCGAAAGTAATGAAGCTTTTAAACGCTTCTGACCGAGAATAACTGTATTACACAGTATGTACTTTATTATGGCAACCTTACTATTATATATGACTGTGCAATATCATTCGCTTTATTTTCTCAAGACAAGAGGTCATTGTAGGCAATTTGCACGGACCCACGAACGTTTCGCCCGAAGCAATCTTTTTAAACGTTTCTCGCCCCTCAACTTTTGCCACGCGCTGTTTTCTCCTCGCGCACGTGAATTAAACGTGGTTGGCTCCGGCTCACAACCGTGACCTGAATATTATTGTTACTCCCCTTTATTTGCGTTTAAACGTCTTTTAACTCGGCAATGACATGTGCAATACTTCGTTCAAGCTTTCAACGTAACGAATTGAACGATGTGTGGCCGCGTGTGAGAACGAGAAAATGTGAACAATAAAGCAGGGAACTTTCTTATTCTCTTCGAGAAATATAAAAGCGGGAACTTCAATCAAAACTACGATGACTTTAATGTTACAAGGTGCCAACTTCACACACAGTAAATTACATGAACTTACACTACTGTTGGCAATCGAAAAATTGTACGAAAAGCGACGAGAATATTATCGTTCCGTTCTCTTCTGTGAGCCGATTTCGTGTGTCAATTAATTAACCGACGTATCAGGACGGCATTGATCGGTTTTCGTTGCGACTGAGACGGTTTCGTCGCGATATGAACACGTCGGAATCAATTATGCGGTTGACTCTCAAAATAATTTACTTCTGAGAGCCCGCTACATTATATATGAACTGTCCGAACTGTCGTACAGTATCCATTATCTCGGCATGTATAGTCGGCTAGTTCCGGACCTGTCCGATATCGAAAGCAATGTTCCGTTAACGTCTCTACGTCAACCCTCGTTCAAATAACTTTTCTACTTAGGGAATCTGTCACGCGCATTGACAGACGAAACTAACGAGAGAAATAAGGATTCCGTGTCGTTTATAGATACATCAAGCGCGTACGAGGACTATAATATTTGTTTTACCAAGGTGAACAAATCTAATCAAGCAGTTTAAAAAACAAAGATCTAAAGCATTTTGCCGACAACCATATCAGCTGCATCCCATTAAAATAAAAACGTAAATAAATTAATTTATGTAACACACTGTACGCATCGAACCCGCATCAAACCGACGAGTTGATGCTTCGCCTTCGAAGTGTCGAGAAGGGTTAAAACCACATAAATATCGAGAATGTACTTCGTGGGAAAGCCAGTTTTACAAGATAATCATGGCGCATTAATCGTCGGCATCGTCGGTTCTAAAGATGCACGACGGCTCTTTGTACATAATTTCATGTAACGAGTGTTTCGTCACACAAAGTTCTGAGAATCATGATACTAAAACCTTTTGTCACGTACGCGCGACGATAATCAGTGTCCGTTCATTGTCGTGGGAATATCAGGAAGGATACGTGGGAAATGAATATCTTGTCCATAAGTTTCACATATTCTTCGCATTCATACGTACTTAAGTAATTTGTAAATCGTTTTCTCTCGAAATTGCGCAAGTAAAAATGTTACGATAAACGTTTTTTTTCTTCTCTTTTCTTTCTTTTTTCTCAGTTTTATCTTCTTGCATAATTTCTCTGATCTTCTCTCGCAATTCATGTCCCTCTTCGTTTTTATCTCATTCTTCTCCGCGAGTGGAGCAGGCTCATTCATTCGGAGTCCTCGAGTTTCCGCTCGGAATCTAGATACGATCTTTCTCTCTCTCTCTCTTTCTCTTTCTCGAAATGTGCTGCACTCAGAAATCTTCCTCTCGAAATCTCCGGCCGGTTTTCTCGGCCGAACAATAATCGCCCACACATCACAATGTCACGCAGTGCCCTTATCATTTCTCATTTTCACACTCCGCGGACAATCATCGAGACGACCACTTCGACGATTCTTTTATCCCTCATCCGCGTTTTTGTGCAATTGTCCACAATGTAATTAAAACGAATTTGATTTGGATTCAACGTAAAAGATATCGAAAATTTCGATGTGCGAATTTTTGACACGAACAAAATCTCGTGTTTCTCGCTCCTCTCGCGCGTTGTTCGGCGAAATTTGACAAAACGAACGGACGTGCGAACTAAAGTGATACACAAATCACGTCCGGCACGTTCGAATAATTAGTCGACAAATATGTGCGATATCAAAGCGGACGCAGGAAGCAGCCATCATGATCGCCAATGCTCACCTCCCTCCTCCCACGCAGTGTACACATAGATACACAATGCGAGACAGGAAACATTTCTTGCGTTAAATTTGTTCAATCCGGTGTGCTCATTTCTCGACTGTCAAATGCAATGTTTTTCTACAATTGCCACTCTGTAAACTTGCGTTTACGCACTCTCTACCTTTGTTTCTCTGTTGCACTGACAGAATGTAAATTTATTAGTGTTTTATTCTTCATTTTTTTCCCAGAAACAAATTCCGACGATAAAACTAATTTTTAACGCGAAGAAACGACATTCCATCATAACACATTACGCATTTGAAATCTAAAGTGCAATATTTTCCAAGAACTTGTTCAATCGTGCAATCTTAGAACACATACCATGTTGCAATAAAAATGTATACTTGGTACTTTCTACATATTATGCGAGCCAGTGCGGAAAGATAATAATGTATAATTTATATAAGTATGTAACACGCATCGTATTACTATATACCTATAATGATATATAATTATAAAATAATTATATAAAATAGTAAACATTATCAAATATTCAGTCTAAGTAAAAAATAATAAACATTTGATAATGAGATGAACGGATGCTGTGTGCGATACATATGTACAAATGATATGTAAACACATATATACGCATTGCATAAAGTCGAAAGACCTGTGTGCAATTGTGTGCTCGTTACATTATCTGATTGCGCTAAATTCAGCGCGCGTTCGTTCCGACTATTTCTGCCCGGGAAGTGACGTCAAATATCGCACAACGCTAATCACGCGATCAGAATTTATCGGCATGAGGATCAAATTATTTAAAATATCAATGTAATCGAATTCGACTTGTTTCTAATTTCATATAGTCGAAATCTAATACAACAGAAGAGAACTTTGTTAGAACTTCGTTAGAAAAAAGACGTTAAACTTTAATTTCCGTCGTTGAAATTAGCGTTAACTAATGTTTCTAATGATCGATTTCCGATCTCGTCGTGCCATTATCGACTCGAGAAGGAGGTTTACCCGTTCATCAGGTGTGTTCGAGTGTGAGAGAGAAACACGTCCGAAGACGACGAAGTTATTGCGAGAAAATGCCGCTTTACGTCGGCATACGCGTGCGTGCCGCGCGGATAATCGCCACCCGTTCACCGACTTGTTATTTACACGGCGAACCGCGATTCGCAGAGACCGCGCGGAGATCGTCTAATCCGCGCGTCTCTCCCTCATTGCGAACCTGAGAACGAGTCGCGATGGTTTGCAGCCTATCATCACGCCGTCGATTGAGAATCCTGAGAGACGAGACACTATTCTATCTACCGGCGGATGTTGAGATGCCGACAACGAGATCCCGCGCGAGATATCGATATAATATCGAGAACGTGATTTTATTTAAACGCAAGAGTTGAAAAAAAAAAAATGGTTTAAGATGATTCGAGTAAACGATCGCAGCCACAACAGGCTCTTGGAACTGGATCAAGATTAAAAGAGGAATGTAAAGGTAGCGCGCGCGCGGTATCCTGATGATAAAGTAAAATTCCGCGGTAAAGCTTTTGACGAATATAACATATACAAGATATCATCCGTAATTAAATCGCGTTGTATCGCCAGTAATTCGATCTACTTATGAATCGTTACGCGCGATGTGTGCAACGATCGCAATGTGGATGTATGTTTGTCGCGTTATTGGAGATAATTATCATCGCACCAAATTGTAATCCACGTACCAAAGCGCAAACTGTTTGTGGATATTAACGGATTACGTACTAACGTTTCGGTCGTGCAAGAATTCCATTTGCGACGTACTGTGTCTACACCTCACACGTGAAATGGATGTGATCGGAATATCTGATTCGATATACAGAGATTTATTACGCGGCTGTATCGCGATATACTGGGAATACACTTTACAAAATAAATATCATGCCCTTTTCTCATAATTGAGAAAAGAGACTTTTTTTCTTTAATTACGATTAAAAAAACAAATCCAATCACCAAGCGAACTCGCGCGCCCATTAACGTTTTCCTATTTCAGTCACAACCATGGTATGACACTCGATTGAGGTAGCCAGTCTATAAACGACAACCAGCCGCCGCCATGAGCAAGCTATTTCAATTTCTGGCTCTCCTCCTGTTGGGTGTCAATGCCAGACGGACCGACGGAGACAGACCTGCGGATGACGCGTACACCGGCCAGCGTCGTGGCTCCATCCACAAGTCGAATTACAACGGCAATAATAATTACAATCATCAATCGAACTCACCATATCAGCCGTATCAGCAGCCTAGAGAGAGGAAGCCCAACATCGTGTTGATTCTGACAGATGATCAAGATGTTGAACTTGGTACATACAGCGTGCTGCTTGTTGCAACACACATTGAATTATTTATTACATTAGTAAATGCCTCCGTATACATCGAACGTAGAATCACTCTATTTATTGCGTGCGGTCTCTTACCTTATCTCACTATTACGACGAAAAAATTGTCATTAGAACTTTTTTTTTAAACGCAAATGTGAATCTTTTAACTTGACGTACACAATTTTGTAATTGTTTACTAAAAATCGCAAAGACGTTGTTTAAAGATATTTAGTAAATATTGACAATTTAATCAACGTAATTATTCAAACGCACGCGGATCAAGTAAAAAACCAAATATTTGATTATACTGGATACGGATTTCTCTTGTTCTTTCAGGTTCGCTAAACTTTATGCCACGAACTCTGAGGCGGATAAGAGACGAAGGTGCCGAGCTAAGACACGCGTATGTGACCACTCCCATGTGTTGTCCGAGCAGGAGCTCTTTGCTGACCGGTCGTTACGTTCACAATCACGAGGTCTTTACGAATAACGACAACTGCAGCAGTCCCCAGTGGCAACGAGATCACGAACCTCATTCCTTTGCTGCTTACTTGAGCAACGCCGGATATCGGACAGGTAAGAAGCCGCTACTGTTCATCCTGCGAAAGCCGGTTGCTGCTCTGCTGATTGTGATCCCTATCTTCTCTTCTGAGTTCGTGCTTTCCGATGATGCAAATTCCGATGATGATCATCGTGCACGCGATGTTACGCAGAGAAAATTCGATAAAATATAGTATCTATTTTTTATCTGCTTTTTCTTTACAATATTGATTTTATCGACTTAGACTTTAATTTGAATTAAAACTTGGAATTATTGTTGTTCTTTGTACATAAATATTCTACAAAACAATAATTAAACGCGCGCGGAATTAAATTTTTATTTATAGTATGTAGTTTACGTTCGAAAAACCGCGAAGGTGAAGATAGGAAAAAAATAGGTTTTTGATAAATCTATTTTCGATGCGCATATACATATTTATCTCTGACGCGCGAGGTATACGAAGAGAACAGGCGCTGCATTGTCCGCTGCATTGTAACGTACATAACTCGACCTTTGGCCACATAAACGCAATCAGGATAATCGAGACACGTTCAATTGAAGTGAGGTTTCTATTTACCTTCCTGCCAGCACGATGCGCTCGGTGCGTCAACTGGAGTCAAGTACGGTCAACGATAAATCCTCATTACGTAAGGCAGTGCGAGCTACTTTAGGCAGGGATTTTCAATTAGAATAGGTCGAGACCTTTCTTTTTTTCTTCTCTCAACTACCTTTATGTCGCGCGTAAATCAATGTGCCGTCGTAACGGCGGCTGCCAACGACACTTGATCGTCGTCGGTATCGTTAACCGTCGAGTCAGCGCGCGAGGTTTCCTTATTTACGTACGGACGCGCGCGGCGCCGGCCGCAATTGCATTCTTGCAATTAGAATCTCGATTAATTCGCTCTCTCGTCTTCTCGTCCTCAACGACGACGTTGCGCCTCCGGGTGATTTTCATTCCGCGCTCGTAATTGCGCGCACGTCGATCGTGTGGGACGACGACGACACTACTCGCGCGCGTATTCGGCCGCGCCGAAGAACGAATATGGCAATGCAATCTCGCGGAATTCCCGAGCTACGATCCCGCCAAGCGAGTTCGCCCCGCGCCGACCGCAATTGTTTGCTACGGGCACCCGTTCTCTCAGCCACCTCGTCGGCCAGCAAATCTTGACGGCTCGCAGAAACGAGGGAGATGTTCTTCGCTTCGCACGACCAAAACGGTCGACCAACGAACCGTCGTCGTCGCACCTGCGCTACGATACGATCGATCGCCAGCGGCAACAACTCGAACCTTCGATTCGATCCGTATTCTCAAGCATCGTCATTGAAATTCGCATTATTCCATCGAATATCGGTCTGTTTAACGATGTTGCTGTATCTGTAAATATTCGATTCCGTCTTTGATGTATGCGCATGAGAAACTCGATATGACTCAATATAAATTTATTTGCTTTACTAAAACAAACGTCGCGCAACAGAGTGACTTGGCGTGCACATTTTATACGACACTAATATCAAATAGTTATTTACACTCTTCCATTTTGATATTCATGCGGATTTATTTACTCGGTACTTCGGATCGTGCTAAGCACCAACTATAAGAAAAGAGAGAGAGAGAGAGAGTAGGATGTTAACCCTGCTTGTGAGCTTTACAAGTTTATGCCAGATCATGGCAGGTGATAAGACGTTACTTATGCCAGATCATGCTCGGCGATAAGAAGTTACCGTGGCGGGTTGCAAAATTCGCCACGTTCGTGATCGCGATTTACAAGATGGCTTTGCGATACCCGATGACACTAATGCTCTGTAATACAGCGAATGGTTATGTCGGTTTTGAAATACACGGAGACACCTCGTTTATCGAGACACACGCATAAACCCGTAATAAGACCCGTTTTCGTAACACATGACGGATGTTACGTACTTCGAGTACGTCGCATTGCCTTACATCAAGGATTACTCTTATCGTCGAAAGAGTATATGTAAAACGTCTTAGTGTACGATGTCGTGACGTCGAGAGTTCTTGACAGACCATAAAAACGTTGCGGTTACGTATCGCAAACTTGTGCGAGATAAGCGTCACGCATTTCTTTCAATGAACTATCCTGGAAGAATTGACAACGATTTGTTCTTCAAAAGAATCAACTGTCCGTCTCTGACACCTGGCTTGAAAAACATCTGTTAACTTCAACCGACTATTTATTTCTCGTTTTTGGAAGAAGGACAATCATTTAGACTACAATTAAGATTAACTAACGTTCATGAGATCACCGAGCTGAAGAAAAAAAACCCGAGAGAAGACAGTACGACCATTCACGCTCGAACGCAAAGATAGGCAAAAATCTCGAGAAGCGGTCTGCTTGCTCGTTCATCGAAAAACATGCCTTGCACTTCGTGCAAGCGTTCCGGACGAAGCAGACTATCCTCTTCTTGTCCATCGGTGTCTTCTTTCCGTCGTGTCCGCGCTCCGTACATGTTGCGTCTGCTCGCGACCATATTCGCGAAGGCAGGACGTTGCTCCCTGAAAGCGCAGCCAGATACTCCTGCCACCTCCTCGGTCAAGCCTCGTCTACATCCGGCACGAAATTTGGCGGTCCGCCAAAATTCGCGAGGTACACGACCAACTCCAACGTGTTTCCTCCGACTTCCGTAAAGACTGCAGCGTTCTCGCGCATCGTCAAAATGAGGCCTCGAATTCGACCCGTCTGGGTCGCGCTCCCGAGTGAAAGTGCGGCTAATTGCCGCGGCGAATACTGTATCGTTTTACGAGAACAACTACTTGTATCTAACTAACTCGATGTAAAATTTGCGTCAGTACACCGAATAATGCTGAAAATGCAGACAAAACTAAAAGTGATAAAATCTATACTCATCCGATTCTGTTCAGAGCCGAAAGTTAGCACTACGCTTCAACGGATGCAACATTCAAAAAAAAAAAAAAAAAGTCCAACACAACCTCAATAGCCAAACGCGAGAGTGATCATTCCGATCTCGCAAGGAAACGTGTTTTGCAAAATACTGATCGGTGGTAGTGCGTAAAGGGAGAGCAGAGAACTCGTTTGGTTATCGCCTGTTATACAGGGTGTCCCTGACCAGAATACCAAGACTGGCCGGTCGGGCGACAAATTTTCTTTGTTATCTTCGCGAGAGAATCTTGTCACGAAGATATATGCGTTATTTGACCTCGTCTCACGTTTGAGAGCCACTTGAAATGAAACGAGATTTATCGTAACAAGCTATTTGAGAATATGAAATTTATGTAAATAAAACACGTAAAGCAAACAGAGATAAATTTTAAACTCGCTCGAAAGTGAACACGACGCGGCACACATCGGACAATAGTAAATTATTTCGGAATTATTTTTTATTGCTGTATATGTATTCGACGTAAAAATTTATGAAACACTGTTTATTCTAATGCAAAGTGACCACGCGAAACTGTGCTTTTCCCGAACTACTGCTCGGGTCACGGGACTTGACTCCAGTTTTCATCGCGATATAAAACCGCTGATTTATCGTGCGTTTTCCGCTCTCCGTTCTGTATACGAATTCGCGCGCATGATACGCACACACACACACACATATATGGCGCGAGCTTTGTTGGTCGTGCAGGTGAGATTATCTAAATTTAAATCGCGCCACAACGGAGCTGTGGAGAAGCATTGTTCGTCGTCGTTGTGCCTCGAGAGGACTCGCCGCCAGTTTTTCGAGTGGTTGAGACACGAAGGGGAAAGGGCGCATGTATACACATACGCGCGCAGCAACATACATATCATGTGTGCGCGCGCGTATGTATCCGTGAAGGAAGTAACGAAGAAGAGCACGAAAAGAAAGAAGGCTGCGCGAACAAGGCACCCACACAGTTTTCAGGACACACACGAGGCACGCTCGCGCCGTGCCTATACAAAAGAACCCCAACGATGATGCAGGTGCGTCTTCAGGGGTGCAATCGGGAATTTCGCAGTTTTATCTATTTATCAAACACAGAAACGCCATGAAAATTTACGTATTGTAAAAAGATTACTTGAAAACGTAAATAACTTGACATCGTCTTTATCAATTTTTATAATTTTGTTGTTGAATATTTTTGACTCTAACGAAAGAGACGGAATATCGGAAATGCGTATCTTTCCTTGTGTATCTGAGAAAGATAAATAAAATTAGTCGTAAACAGCTTGTCTCGCAAGACGTCAGTCATAATCGTGATATCCTGACGGTAATAAAAGTACGAAGCAGGCGCGAGAGAAATAAGATCTTTATAAAAGATCTTTTATGATGCAAGCGACGTTTGCATGAATAATGAAATAAATCACGATCCATTATCTGGCCCATTGTCATAAATGCATAATGACAACGACGGAGACGACGCCGATGGAGTGATGTATATACCGAAGGAGAACGTTTCTATATCTGTCGGAGCTGAAGAAAGCTCTGCCGACACCTTCCTCCCCCTACGAGATGCAGTATTGTTTCAAATGGTTGTAGGAAGCTTGATTACCATAATACATACTTGTACTTGTTAGTTATGAGCGGTAATATCTCTGCTGTTTCGCAACCGATAGACGAACGTCTTCAGTTTCCGGTCTCGGTACATCAAGTGACGCTCTCGCGGCGATGACACAATAGTAAGACGTCGAAGAATTGTATCTCAAGCGATAAAAAGATTTGTAAGTTACAAAGTTTGTTCCAAAAACTTGGAATCTATAAATCTTTGGTATACTAACAAAATAACAATAGTAAGTAGAACACACCGAGAGACGAAACAAAGATCGTTCGTTATTTAGACCTCACGCGGATCTCATCAGACGTCGTTAAATTCTCCGCTTACCTTTTGTAGCCTTTTCTTCGTCAATTTATGTTCCCTTATCGCCGATATATATGCGAGGCTTGTAGCGTCCTAGATGTGCGGAATACATGGAATACTGAATAACGAGCCGCGAGCGATTCGCGAGCGACTCGCAGAACGAACCCGCGATTCGTCATGCGGGGTCTCTTTACAGGAGATAGCGTTGTTCGTTGAACGGCTCGTTAGGCGTCAGTACAGAAGCATGCGATATACCTTTAAATCTCGGCACGAGAACCCGCGTTAGGTAGCGCTCGCTCGTAACAAACAAGGCCGACATGCAAACGAATAAACGATCGTCCGTCGAAACGCGTGTTGCTGGAGTCCGAAAAGCGGGTTAATGCTCTCGCCGCACGAAACAACTTCCTAAAATAATCACGAGCTTCATCTATACTGCCGATTCTGGCACATCGCAATATTCTAAATTCATTTCCATCCCCCCGTCTTAACTCCGATAATTTTAAACGTTCGCATTTCCGGCACACATGAGAGCACGCGCAGAGTTAACTCTTCTCGAGTGACGCGCACCTTGTCTTTCTCAATAGTAAAAGAAATAAAGAAAATTTTAGCAGACAGAGAGAAAAATAATAAAAATATAATAAAAATAAAAAATAAATTATATACTTTTGAGAGCTTTTTTTCACATAATGTTTCATGGTTAAACGAAAGTCTCCGACTTTTGCCTCTCGAATATACCGCGAAATAAATTCGGAATATTTTCCATTTTTATGCTGAGTAGGAGGAGGTGCATGGGATTTGTCGATACCGACGCGGTGTTCAAACGCGGAGACCGAAATGGCGCATTTATTTCTTCAGCGAATTTATTCGTTTGGCTGACCCATATTCTCCCATAAGAAATATTCCGTCGCATCGAACGTTTTCGTTGCTTTGTTTTGTTTTGTTTGCTCGCCCGACTTGGATCTGCGACTGGCGCCTCGTGCGGTGTTTCTTCATCTTTCTGCTCGTTTCTCTCAACGACTTCGTTCTCTTTTATAATCACAAGTATCGTTGGGGCGAAACGAGACTTGAATTTCAATTCGTAAATTACCATTTTATTCCACGCCGCGTATTTTTCACATTGCACACTCTCTCTGCCGGGGAAGCAACAGGTGCGATGCGTAATCGACTGTAAATCGACCTAATAAATTCTGATAAATCGGACTATATTTTACGGGAATGACTTTGCGCGAATTGTTCGCAGTCTCTCAATAGTAATCGTATTGTTGTAAGTAATTGTAATAAGTTAAGATGTTACTTTTTTTTTACAAATTTCATTATGTACGCGTGTAATCTATCGAGTTACGAAGGGCTGCAATTTAATTAAGTTTCACAGTGGACTGCAGGGCGCGAATTAATTCTCCCGAAACATACACGTTTTCAGGATACTTTGGCAAGTATTTGAACAAGTACAATGGCTCGTACATACCACCGGGGTGGCGAGAATGGGGTGGCCTTATAATGAATTCTCGCTATTACAACTACAGCGTCAACATGAACGGCAAGAAGATAAAGCACGGCTTCGAGTACAGCCGGGACTACTATCCGGATCTGATAGCAAACGACAGCGTGGTTTTCCTTAGGCAGAGCAAACACAATTTCGCCCGGAAACCGGTGATGTTGGTTGCGAGCTTTCCGGCGCCGCACGGCCCAGAGGACTCGGCTCCGCAGTTCTCCCATCTGTTCTTCAACGTCACCACTCATCAGTAAGTACGATGAACTTCTCCACATCGCGTATTTGCGCGGTCGTGTTATTACATGTAACTCCGGAAGCGGAGAACGCGTCTCCAGGTCGATTTGTGCGCGCGTGACGAGAATTTATGTATTAAACCTGGTGGTTCGCTTCTCTCGCGCGCGGTATTAGTTTCTAAATAACTTCTTAATCTATGCCACACACGCCTTTGATCGTGAACGAGCAATGAAGTTTATAAATAAACGAATTAACGCGAGAAATTTGTTTTACAAAACTAGATAGACATTATAGTTTCCTATTTAGCCTCGTTGTCGCGCACATAGTGACAACCGCAACGATCGCTCGAAAAAGTCACAGCTGATTGCATGCGCGTGTTATTTTTCGTTGTCACAGCTACTTTTCAAGCTCCGATAAGCACACGTGGAGGATGTGCACATATGGCGCTTCATGACACTACGACTACAATAAAGGATTGTCGACAAAACGAACATGAAAAAAAAATTAAAAAAAATGCAAAAGAAAACGGAACACGCAATGGCGACCCTTCGCTCGACGTCGGCGAGCTGGGGGATTCTTTTCATTTTTTTTTTTTTTTATCGGACAATAGGATGCGTGTCGCGTCGAACGGCGTTAAATTCGCGCGTTTATCTCCGTCCGCGTGAAAATCCACGTCTCGCTCGACGAAATATTGTGCGCACGAGGGGAAGCAGGGAACGGAAGACGTGGGACGATATCGGACGGAGTGAAGGGCGTCGGAGTGTATGGATCTAGACCACGGGATAGGTGTCTGCAGCCGCGACGGCGTCATCGTCGGGTGATGGAGTACCCTAGACCACCGAGAGCAGGAATGAAAAGCGGTGAAAACGCGCGCCCTTACGGCCCCATTGCGCTCGCGCGCTCCGTTATTGTGCAGCACCGCGGATATACGTATCACACACCTGTGTGTCTGCCGGAAGGAGAATAAGTATTGCATGTTTTGTGACGCACGCGGTGTGGCGCGCAAAGTTCGGAACAAAAGTAGAACGATAACGACCACGAGTTGTCCTAGTTGTCGACTGCAAACACGGCGAGACATTGATGGTGCAATGACGTTTGATAATTCACAATACAACAGTAGCGTAAAATTTTTTTCGTAAAGCATATAAAAGCGCTGTTTCTCTTTAATTTTTTTTTTTTTTTTTTTGACATCAGATTTGCGGAATATATATTAAGAATTACGAAATTTGAATAGGAAAGGAATATATAAAGCAGATGACCCAATTCATTCATCCGTGGCGTTAACCACAGATTTCCAATATAAGCTCTCGCACTTGTTCACGTCGCTACGCGCAAATTTCCAGTGCCAAATTTCATGTGGCACACGAGTTGAGAAAATAACGAGTCGGCGCGACGCCCGTCGTCGGCGTCATCGCGTCGCGGTTGTCTGCCGACACATCGAACAAAAAGAGGTTTTTGAGCCGCGTGACAGCGAGCGATTCATTAATTCGAATTTTCAAGACACACGGGTAAAAAGAAAAACCAAAATTTTGCCTTGTTTTGCGATAAAGAAACGAACGAAACATTAGATGATTTGTCGTTCGCTATTTTGTCGCCGGTCATTGGAAAGACGGAGAAGAAAAAGAAAGAGAGAGAACGAAAAGTTTAATGATTACAGACATGCTTGGCGACGTTAAAAAGAAAAACCGCTCTCGTGAAGAATCTTGAGTGCTGCAGCCCTGAGCTTCTCGTACTTCTCTCTCTACGTGCATTCAGCGTTAATTACGAATGTCTGCTTCTAAGTAGAATGTATGTATCATGGACTTCAAAATAGAGCTTTTCATGTCCGAAAATACGCGCGGCAGATAAACTTCGAAATCTGGTTTTGTCTTAAAACTGCAAATTCTACTTTTTTTTTCTCCCTCTCGTGTGTAAACTTGCAACATGGAAAAACTTTATTTCCGTGATGGATGCTCTCGATCGTGAACTTTTCAGGACAGGATCGAGAGTGATTGTTCAACGACTCTCTTCGACAATCTATTTTTTGGAATATTGAAAACTTTCAAGCCGCAAGTTGGAATTGATACGTTTAATAAAAAAAAAAAAAACTCGCCACGCGCGTGTGTTAGAAAAGATGGACGTGAAGTTTCTCACACTTGACGTTAGATTGAACGACAAAATTTCGACGAAAGAGTTAAATTGACTACGGAAAAAAAAAAAAAAACTCGGAATACGTTGATATTATGTCGCGTGCTTCTCGCGTAATCGGTTAGTACTTGATGTTGCAAATTAGATTTAATTACTGCGCGACATCGCGCAGCCATTTACGCGGCCGCAGCGCGCCAACCGGCGTTTTAATATCAAGGTTTTCACTCCACGCGCTCGTACATCACGCCATTCCCGTGTCGTGCCACTCAAAAGCTAATCGACAGAAATTAATATGCCGGCCGGCATGTACAGTAACGTGCTTTCAGGACGCTTTTATCGACGCGCCTTTAAGCAATCAGCTAGCCGGGCGCTAATTTAATTCCCTTCCGATCAAAGGCTGTTAAGTGCATCGCGAGACAAACTATTGTAGATTAATAACGGACGATGTAATGAAATAGTTTGGCGGTGTAACGGCGATAAGTTATATTCGCGCGTTTTCGCAACTGGCTACAAAACGGGATCCCGTTTTTGAGCGTACAATCGCTTTGGCTAATTGTTTCACGGGATATTTGCGCTTTCGTCGCGCAATTTGTCCGTGTAATCGCACGGTTTTTCGCACAAAAGAAGGAAGTGCCGTAAAGACGCAAAAGAGCACGCGGTGACACGCGTCTGGGTGTAAATATAATTCGCGGTGTCTCTCGCGGGCGCGCGCGAGTTAAATGGTCGTGGCGAGACGGTGAACGCGGAATAAGCCGCAATTAAGAAGTCGGGTCGAGACGCGTAACGTGGGCCACGACAGCAGCGTGTTCTCTATTCGGGACGCGAAGTCGGGTTGCGCGTTTTGTTTTAAATTTGCATAAAGTGTGGGGAATTTATGGCAACGTGCTCACGAGAAAGAGAGAGAGAGAGAGAGAGAGAAAGGAGTCGAAAGGTCGTACGTTAGAATTAACGCGGATTGTGCAGGCATCAAACGCAGTCTCCTTCACTGTCTTTCCTCTCTCGCCTCCTACACATCTTTTCTCGCTTTAAATACTTATAAGCTTTCCTTTTTCTCTTCGCTTCTTTTAGAAGCCAACTGCTTCCGTTTTCACCGGGCTAGTACACGACTTGGAAAACTAACTAGGTTTCGCGCTAAAAAACGAGATCTGCTACGCTCTTTTGTTACACGTACGTGTAGTTCGGTGTGTTTTAAACTGATTTTTCCAACTGCAAATCTCTTTAAACCCGCATTTCATGAAAAAAAAAACGCCAGTTTTTGTTCAGTCGTCATTATTGCTTAAAGTTAAACAGCTAATAAACAAATAAGCATTACTGTAAAGCATTGATAAGCATCAATTTAAATTACATAGTGAATATCTGAAAAAGCGTTATTTTCACAGTTGATAAAATGCATGTACAAAAATACAAATACGCGGTATCAAACATGACATTCAAAAGTGACATGTTAACTGTGTTTATTTTTTCGGTTACTTATTTTTTCAAAAATTACGGAACATGTGCATAATCAGAAACCTGTTTCCTGTGGCGCATCCCGCACGAAAACCCGTCAACGAGACAAAGATCCTGCGTGCGGTATGAGCACTCCTGAAGGACGTGAAAGAAGGTGAAGGGCCAATTACCTATAATTTCGCGTCTCGCGTAATTGGAGGAAGAGAAAGAGACGGGCGGACGGCGGTCCCCTTCTCGAGAAATCCCGGGGTCTGCCCCCCGTGCTTCACCCCCGTCGTTTCATTGGCGATCTCTCGCGTCTTGGCCACAGGGAATTAATTCAATTTTGGCCCGGCTACTGAATTCCTAGAACAAAACTATGTTACACGCTCCTAAATCACGACCGCTCGTTAAAGATCTCGACTATCGGCGGCTACTGTTGTGATTAAGGACGACATTGCGCGGCTGCCAAGGCAACGTGGCACTAAATTAGCCATCGGTAGGACGGTTTCTCGCGGAGAAACGGAATATCGGATCTCAGAAGCAATTTCTTGAAGGATCCTTCATGTTCGCAATTTAAACTCGTGAATCATTTTGATATTTTGAGCATCGCGGAAAAACCAGTATTGGAAATCTATTTCATATCGTGAGATGTGTTATCCTGTGATATACGATGCAGTATGTCGTGAAATATGTCAACAGTTTTAAAAATATATATCTTTTACCGAAGTTTCATAGAGAAAACAAAATATTCGGAGAACGAGCAAAAGTTTCTATTGAATTTAAATCTAACAAACATTATCAGCGAGATGCGCATGATAAGGATATTTAATTTAATGAAGTACGTATGTCTACTTTTTTTCGTTTCAGCACACCTGCATATGATTTCGCGCCGAATCCCGACAAGCAATGGATACTTCAAGTTACGCAGAAGATGCAGCCGATTCACAAGCAGTTCACAGATCTCTTAATGACAAAACGACTGCAAACTCTGCAGAGTGTCGACGCTGCTGTAGAAAGAGTACGCATTATGTTTAATACACGGACTAACTCATTTTCCACAATGCGTACAGTTGAAATAGCATTCCTGCGTTAAATTGTATTTTCATAAGTGTAACAGAGGGGAGGAAACATTATGACCTTTGACATGTTCATGTTTTATATGTTATATTATCTATAATTATCTGTAGATTTATCAAGAGTTGAAGGACTTGGGCGAATTGGACAACACGTACATTATTTACACGTCCGATCACGGATATCATTTGGGACAGTTCGGACTTATAAAAGGCAAAAGTTTTCCGTTCGAATTCGATGTGAGGGTGCCATTTCTCATTAGGGGTCCCGGTATCGAACCCGGATCCGTGTAAGTCTTTTAATGTTATCTAATACTTTCAACAATCTTTTTTTCTTATTATCGAAATTTATGAAATAATGCACAGAAAATTTTTCTTTATAAGAATTTTGTAATAAAAGTTTTAACAGTGGATTGCATCTTCTGTCACATAAAATGAAACTGAACATTATTAAATGTCGGATAGTCAATAAACGCGTTCTTTATTTCAAGTAGTTCAGACATTCTATAAAAGTGCCGGCGTACGACTATAAGACATTTACGGAGTACGGACGCGTATAGCGCTGAGTCAGTATAATGAAATGACTGTTGTCTACGGAACTTCAAGTACCGTACGCGTTTGCTTTTTATTCGCGAAAACTCGTTTAAAAAAAGAATCATTGTCAGACGGACTGTAAGGCCAGACATTAGGTCACAATAAAACATAACGTTGCAGAGTAGACGACATAGTTTTGAACATCGATCTGGCGCCGACGTTCCTGGATATCGCTGGCGTCGAAACGCCGCCTCAGATGGATGGTCGTTCCTTCAAAAAACTCTTTTTCAAGTGAGTGTAATAATATATTTTTTTTTAATATGTCATGTCTGTAAATGCACAGATAATTGAATTTTAACTTACGCAGTGCGTTGAAATTCTTGTTTTATAACTTTGTTTAATTTCGCGCCAAAGAACTTTCTGACTCACTTAAGCAAAATTATTTTATTAAGACAATTTTTTTTTTTCAATTTCTTTTTTATTACAGATTTTACTTCGTTTTACTAGTTAAAATTTCCGCTTTGTGTTTCGATAATAGAACAATCGTGTTACATGAGTAATCTTTATCTAAAGTGATCCTTGTGCATCATCGATTATATTTCCCGTTTGCGAGTAAATCCCGTTGTGCATTGCAGTAGCAAGCACGGTAGAAGGTCGAAGCTCAAGTGGCCCGATACATTCTTGATCGAATCCTCCGGGCGTCGTGAGACCCCGGAATCTATCGCCGAATCGAAGGCGCGGGAAGCTAGGAGGCAAAATGCTACACAGATCAAGCAATCGCCGAGCTCAACGCTGGAAGAGGAGGATGAAATCGTTGATCCGGATGCCGATGGCGAGGTAGAGCGTCGATTTACAGACAACGACACCGGAAGCGATCAGGATATTTCAGATGACGAAGACTTTGAAGATTCGATTATCGATGAGACAAGTGAGTTACTCGCCAATTAGAAACTCGCGATTCTTTTCTATTATAAGAAGAGTCAATTTCTGCGAAAATATCTATGCGACACAAATACAAATACGTAAAATGCAAAATAAATTGTTTTATCAGATAGATATGATCAAGATGAATATGATCTCAGTTTACTTGTGAATATGTAAATGAGAAGCGCTTCGAGATACAGGTTTCGCCGCGCGCGACATAATTCCTCAGGATCGCGAATAGATCCGCCGGTTTCACTCAGAAGCAGATGCTCCGCGCAACAGCGGACTGTTGCATTATAATAAAACTTACCGTTACGCCAGATGCTGTACGTTGCGTATTACGCGTATACGTTGCGTATATACTACGCGTAAGAGAAACGAGTTCTTTGCCTGGTATGCATTAGCATAACTACCCGATCCTTGGGAAAGACGCTCCTTTTCTTTTCTTATTTTCCTCTTAAGATTATCGGAAGAGCACTTCGTAAAGAGAGTGATATTTTCGGCGATAAACGCGCTATAAAAAGAACTTGAGAACACATGCAGCATTCTTCCGACATCTCAATCCTTTTCGAAGGATACAAGAATCCTGTACTACCATGCAGGTTCTATTATTAAATTGTGTATTTGAAATGCACGTGTTCCACAGGTTCGGATCCACATCTGGACAATAGAGTGCACTCAATGCACGCGGGCTTCGCTACGAAGCACGAGCGTCTCGCAGCGGAGTGCTCGCGACCGGAAGCGCAAGCCGATTGTCTTCCCGGACAGAAATGGCGATGCGAAAGGGACGGACATCGGTGGCGACGGCACAAGTGCAGATACGCGGCACCTCCGCCACCACAAAAGGTGTCCAAGAAATGCGCCTGTTTCACACCGAACGGTGTGGTCTACACGAGGCTGGAATCTAACGATTACAACGGACAATACGGCTTTACGAGAGACCGTCGACTTACGAATTCTTACACCGATTCTTACACCGATATAACGAGATATTTCAAACGAGGTGAGAGTTTCCTTTAGATTCGCGGTGTTTGCATATTTTTATTATTCATTGCGTAAATCGATTAAAATACTTGCAATAAATTGATGTATAGGCAAGCGAGAAGTGTCGGACAATACCGTGACGATTGAGGAAAGCAATGAAGAGTTTGACGATGACTTTGACTTAGAAGATAAGCGCGATAGACGTGCAATTGACGAGGAAGATGATGAAGATTTCCTTCAAGAGTTGGATGAGCTGACGCGAGAGATGAGGAAGGATCGCGAGAACGTGCGACATAGGTGTGTAATCATCAATTTAGCGCGGTGTTCAAGAAAGCTTTTTATTGTGAGGTACATAGATGAATATGCATTTTAGGAGCGGCAACTGGACAAGAACTGCAGATGAAACTGACAAGCAAGATAATCTTGTCGATTACCAGGACTATGGTTATTCGATGAGCGATTTTGACCTTACCTCTTTGGATAAGATTATTAAAGGCCGACTAAATGTGGACGATGTGATAAAACGACATCGAAGAGTACGGAGAAGTGTTACGAAGAAGGATACCATAGAACACGTCACGAAAATAATGGAAAGCATAGAAGAAGAACTAGACGACTTGAAGGTAATATTCGGGGAAGAAAACATCAATTTCTTCAGTTAGTTTGTATAGATTATTGACTAAACAATCGATCAAACGATTGTTTTTTAATAGCAACGTCATCCGTCTGGAAAATCAAAATCGCCAAAGTGCTTGGTTTTACCGGAAGGAGGTGTAAACTGTTCTGAATCTATATATCAAGATCCTAACGAGTGGCGAACATCGAGACGACAGATCGAGCAGCAGATTCGAGAGATGCGAAGTCAACTGGAAACATTGAAAGTAAATTTGTAGTAACAATTTGTGTTTTTTTTTTTTTTTTTTTTAATAAAAGATCGCATTAGTTTTATTTCTGTACAATTATACAAAAACAACTTCCTCAAAACTTGATTTTAAGTCTTTTTGAAGTATTTGAAGATCATTTCGAATGTAAAAAATTGTTAACTTCTTGTCGTAAACAATATCGATATGTATTTGCAGGAGATTCGCCGACACTTAATGATCAAGCGACCTCTGTTCTTCGTGGACAATGAAGAAAAGCTTGGTGATGCAGGAGAACCTCATAAAACTCATCACCATCCGCCGAAGGGTCTTGTAGGTCGTCATCATAAAAAACATGATAAAAGTACGACCAACGAGTCTACTGCAAAGATCAGTACAACTCCAAGTTATGAAAAAGTTTCAGTGACAGAAGTGAAGATTGATAAATACAGCACAACTCCTAGTGAAACTTCTTTCATCGCGGAGATTGTCACCGAAACGCCGGTAACGACCGTTTCGTCGACTGTTAAGCCGAAGAAACAGCCGCGTCGTCAGAAAACGAAGGAAACTTCCACGAACAGAACGGAAATTGAAGACGATAAGCCACAGAGGCGCAGAAAAACACACCACCATCGTAATAAGAACAATACGCTGCTCACAAACAGTATACACGACGATAGTCTGCACGTAAATACAACCGATGCAACGTTATCCACGCGAGATTATACAACTGAAGGGCACAGTTACAAATTTACGACTGTTACTACCGCTTTTACAGAAACAAATACCAGACAAGAAGAAATCGCTGACGTATCTAGAAGTAACATCTTTAACGAAGATTCTACTACAGAATCGGTCACAGAACTGGAAACGACTGTGACAATAACTTCAACGCGCACAACGGAAGTGCCAAGAAGCAGTCTGACAATCACTAAAGTTACAAGTCCCGATCGATCACGAAATACATTCACCGCGACACCGACGACCACGTTGCCAGTAAAAAGATACCCGAAGACGCAAAAGAACAGAACGTCGGGAATTCTCGGACCAGCAAGAATCGACGTCACTATTCTCGAAACTCCCGAGAGGAAACACAAACCAGGTAATGAACAAAAATATTCATGATTCCGATTGATCATCAAACGGCATATCGTTTTATTATGTTATGTTTTAATGTAGCTGTAACCGTGAGCAACAACAACAGTCGTCTGTCACCGACCAGTCAAGTGGAAGCGCGACACAAATGTTACTGCGAAGACGCGAAGAAAGACGAGAAGGAGATTGCCAGAGAAGAGAGACGGAGATTGAAGGAGGAACGTTTGAGGAAGAAAGAACGAAAACTGAAGAAGAAAGCCAAACTGGAAAAGGAGTGTCTGACGGAGAAAATGAATTGCTTCGAGCACGACAACGATCACTGGCGTACCGCGCCTATGTGGAATGCGGGACCATTTTGCTTTTGCATGAATGCTAATAATAACACGTATTCGTGTGTGCGTACAATTAACGCGACGCACAATTTCCTTTACTGCGAGTTCACCACAGGATTAGTAACTTATTATAATTTGAGACTCGGTAAGTATATGCGAATGAAATCTCAAGGAAATCTCGATAGATACAAAGTGATAATATTTTCGCCAGATCCATTTGAACAATCGAATCGGGTGTCACTTTTGACGGCTAGTGAAAGATCTTACTTGCACGATCAGCTGGAGCACTTGAAAGGATGTAAAGGTACATGGGATTGTACAGTGGGTAACGCTAGAGAGGCAATGCCGCAATTTCAACAACATCAGCGATACGCTCCGAAAAGAAAGTATAGTGAAGCTTTTGGTAAGTCTCAGAATAAGTTACGTAAATCTTTACATATGTTTGATATTGATAACAGAAATTATTTTAGCAGACGAAATGTTTGTACCTTCGGCATTACAAATTATACGCGAAAGCGAACTTGGCAGTTCACCCAAAAGACGGAAAAAGTTACAAAAGTAAGTGTATCAAATGATTTTTCTCAATATTTAAAACTGAAAAAATGAATGTAAAGTTTAATGTAATGGTCGTCGATATATTTTTCACACAGTTGGAATAGGCGCAACAGAAGCTGGCAAAGTATCTGGCGACATCATCAAGATTCAATAAATTCCCGTCGACATAGTCACAGACATCAATACTGATCAATATCTTTTTTTTTGTATACGCTTTAATAATCGCGTGACGAATTGCCTTAGGTATACATTGATTTTGCAATGCATTTAGTAGCCTAATTTATTTAGGAAAAAAATAAAAACAAAGAAACCGTGGTGATATTTTTTTAAACTTGTACATCTCGATACGTTAAATTCTTCCACATTGTGTGCATGTTTTTTTTTTTTCAGTATAAACATCATTACGATCGGATCTAATTATAGAAATTTATGTGCACTATGTGGAATATTTTTGAATTTAGGTTGTACGCGCGATAAGTTTTATACAATTGGAAACGATCAACGATTTATAATGACGTAGCTAGGAGATTTTATTCTATTAAGTATTTTTTATAATTTATTTAAAAAAACAACTATACGTGTATATTGTGCACACAAATATTTGTCGAATTACATTTTGAGAGATTTTCCAGATACGCGTTATAAATAATCGCGTTTGTTTTCGTACTTTAATTAAACGCTGACAACTTTTATTGTAAACGTAGTAACGTAAATAATGTATACACACGTTTTCATAACATATATACACGTTTCCCTGAGTTTTTTTACTACGATACGTTACGTTGGAATCAGCTGTGTCTGTTATGTAATAGAAGACTGTACACGCACAACGAAAAAAAAAAAAAACATGATCTTCCCTCGCCAGTTGCTAAAATCTTGTAATGTATTATTTGCGTAAAACTCACAAAAAAACGTCTATCAAATGCTGCCATTTTATTTAGCTCTCTTATCTCGTTTAGAATACGACAAGAAATACACCGATGTTCTTATTGATACGCACTGCCAAAAAAATTTACAAACATTTCTATTCATTTTATATCTTGATATATATTTTTTTCAGAACAAAGGTGATTTACACTTTAGTTAAAAATTTGTAATGTCGTAAAAAAACTGTAAATATTCTTATAATTACAAACTTTTGGGGAACTTTTACTTGTTGCGAGCTTACGATGAATCTTATATTAGCGTCAGCAATTTAAATTACTTTAACAAATGCACAGCTATTTTAGCAGCAAAATAATTATCAATAGTGTACAAGAACTATGTCAAGGAAAGTAGAATGCTCTCACTAATGTAAGAAAATCCGAAGACTTTATCTATTTATGTCTTTACAAAAAAAGTAAGATAGTTTAATTAACATCAGAGCTCTTTCTATGTGCAACAGTTTCATGGATATTTAAGTAATTTAAAGTGCACAATGTAAGACACCTTACAATTCACATTTTTACCAAGTAATACTCTCTGAAGCATTCAGCATTCTATCTTTCCTCTGTATTACATATTAAACTACTATTCACATATTTTCATTGAAAAATGTAACAGAAGAAAACAACAGTGTATTTAAACCATCTAGAACTTAGAAGAAAAATGTTTTGTCTTTATATATGTGGAGTACATGAGATACATTATTTCTCTCTTTCTCTCTCTCTCTCTCTGAATGTAGAAAATAAAGTAAAAATATTATTTAATTAACAGATATACACGAATGTAATGTATAGTCAACGAAAAGTAGATGAATAATTTATTTCTGTAATTGAAACTGTAGAATAAATATGAAAGAGAGATAATTTGACAAATATTTTCTCGAAATTTTTTATGTATTAAATTCAATAATAAAATGTTACTTTTCTGAGAAGAAATTATATATTTGTTTAATTAAATAAATAAATAGTTTCTTGTTATTAAATAATTATCAATTTAAAACTCAAGAGGCTCATTCAGATCATCATAAGTTTCAAATATGTTGGCAACATCAATACACTCCTTGCTTGAATGATTTTTGTCTTGTAATTTGCATTTCTCATTACTAGTTGACAATTCCTTTGTCTCACAAGTGACATCTTTTCTTTCACAAGAATCATTTGTTGTGTTAATACAAGGTTTTTTACTTAACATCATATCTTCATCATCATTTTCATTCAGCTCACTATATGTTTCAAAAATATTAGTAACAGTATTGTGGTTCATGTTAAATATATTATTATCTTCAAAATTGCAGTTACTAATATTAGAATTATAATTTGAACATATGTCACTTGTTTCTTTGGCTTCATCATTTTCAGATTCACAACTAGAATCATTTACAATATCTTCAAAATTATTCAAACATGAAGCATTATTGTACTCATTAGACAAAGATTTTTCTTTTGGCATTACATCTTCAGTGTCATTACTATTCTCATAAATTGAATTCTCTGCATCAGATAAGCTTTCTCTTTCTGATGAGTCTAAATAATTTTCCTTGTTTTCAACAACTGTGTTCTTACCTGACACTTCAGGAATGCTTGTGTGTACATCACAACTATCACTGCCACTATCATTTTGATTAGAAGTTGTAGAAAATAATGAAAAATTTGCTTTTGCTGCATTCAATTTCTGGACAGAAAGACGACATTGTTGGCCAGATCCTTGAAAATATACCTAAAAATTAATATTACTGATTTTAATCACAAAAGTGATAAAATATTAAAAATTATCCATATACTAGTGTTTTTTTTATATCGTATACACACCTGTTGTATAGATTGTTTCGCATTGCACACTTTGCACTGCCATTTGCGTGCTTTTTTGACTATGTGTACCTAAAACAAGACGAACAAAGGAAAAATATTTACACTGCAGAGATTCTACCATGTCACCAATGTACATTTCAAACTTACTTGAAACATTTTACAAGAATAACAACACAAAACATTTAATTCTTGTGGCATTGTTGAAGAGATCAGTCAAAATTTGAAAATTGACAAAAGGTTTGGTTTGGTGCATATGTGGCTCAAAGGACCGACTCAAGATAGTCCATACGCCATTCTAAGCTTGAATAGTGATTTTCTTGGTATGTTCACCGTTAAACGGTTAAATGGTTGATTTCTCCAACTGGAGTAACAAAGTACCCCAGACAACTGCGCAGATCTAGGGTCTTTAAAAACTACCAGATACGGAGCACACGCTCCGGAGCAATACTAGCGACACGTATAAGACTCTGA